TTGAATTGAAGCTTAGATTCAACTTCGACAAGTCTGTAGTGAGTTCTCTGAATCTTCTTAATCACTTAACTTAATTGTTTGGTTATATATATATATACATTTTGTTTGTTATACTAATTACTTCTTGATCATATTTTTCGATCTGATTTCATATTTCTTTTGTTTGAGATATTGAAATATTTAATTATGCTTTGAACTTTACTTAGATATGTCCACAATTACATTCGAGAGTAAATATACTGAGGGTGTTTGGTAAATATATAGATGTTAGCTGATTGGGTTAATTAATGAGTTTGACTAGTTAATAGCATTAGCTGATTGTATAAAAGTGTTTGGTAAATTAGCGGTTAGCTGATAGCTGATTGTATGCAAAATTACGTTCTTAAAAAGTTTATCAAAAAGCTACTTTGAGCAGCTTTTTGAATTTTAGCATTTTGGATTAATAAGTTATTACAAAATGTTAATTAACTAAGCTACATAAGTTGTAATATATTTGTAAGTTCTTGTTAATCGGTAGAGTACAAGTAATAGAAAAATTAAGTGAACTCTTTATTTTACGGGAAAGTTCATAATAATAGCAATTCAAAAATTTACACAAGAATCTTGAGAGGGTAAACCGACTTAACTGAGAAGTTAATAGGCAATTCCAAATTAGAAATTGAAAATTTACTATTCGACCAACTTTAACATGACATCAGTTGAAACACTAAAAAAGAAATTCAACAGTAAAATCTATACAACTAGGTAGTGGTAGTAGTAAAAGTATAGCCTCACTTAATTGAATGACAGAAAAGGCAAAGTACAGTAATCTGAGCTCTAAAGTTGAAACTAATCAATATTATTAGGATCTACTTTTTTCTTTTTTTTTTTCTTTTTTTTTTTTTTTTTTTTTTTTGCTTACCTTTCATAATTAACCTATAAATAAAATATACTGAACAAAATGATTGGTTTGATCCTTTCTTTAATCTGTTTTTTGATCTTCTTTGCATTAATATTAATCAATAGAAAAGCTAGCTAGTGTGAAGACATATAATGGGCGTTAACTTTTTATCAATTGGATAAATATATTAATCTAGCTAATTATAATTTTTATTGACACCTAAATAGTATTAGTTTTCCTTAAACAGTAATATTGAGGTACATACATGCTGATTTTTTAATGTGAAAATAGATTATTATTATTATTATTATTATTATTATTATTATTATTATTATTATTATTATTATTATTATTATTATTATTATTATTATTATTATTATTATTATTATTATTATTTGTGGGAGAGATATATGGCTTAAAAATTAACCACCAAATCTTCACTATGGATTGAAGCCAATATAAATATATTTGTACCTCTAATTAAATTAATAATTATATGTCAATATAATATTTTTTTGAACATATTTAATAAATATTAAAGAGTAGGTATGTACCAAATAAGATTAGTTTTTGTATTTGCATGTATATATAATGTAATCGCAATCATATCTAAGAGATTATATTCATCTCTTTAGAACCAAATTGCATAATATGGTGAGATTACATTGTCACCCATACCAAGCCCATGCTCTTCACCCGACAAATTATGTTGTGTACTATGGTCCACTTTACATAATGGACCTTAATCCTGCAAAATAATATTTAAATTATATATTTGTAAATAATGTCACATAACATATTAACTATAATAGGTACATAACATTTAAATTATATACTTTAATTAAAGTTCTTACTCCAATCGTCCGTTCATAAATAAATGACATCATTTATCCTTTCAATTAATTTTTTTTTTGTTTATTAACAAAAACTTTTTATAAATTAAATATATCTCATATATTTAATAATATAAAAACAATATATTAATCACATCATTTAAATTTTATAAAAATGTTCTTTTTAGTCATTTTACATTTTTCATCTTATCAAAAAAACTAATTTTACCAAACACTTTTAAGCATAATCAGCTAGTTAACAACTATTCAGTTTAATTTTCAGCTTTTAACTTATAACTTTTTAACTAGGTTTGTCAAACATAGCCATGTGAGAACTAGTAGTTTCGGTGAGAAAGCGTTGGCTAATCTCGTTTGTCCATTTAAAATAATAAAGGATTGAAAATTAATAATTAAAAAAAACACGATAATATTTTTATAATTACGACAATTCGTTTGGAAACACTTGTCGTGGATAACTGATGACGATGTACTTAATATCTATTATAGTGCATTCATGTGTGTGCACTATTTGGTATCTATCTGCATATATATACCATCAAACATTTTCAAATACACTATTATAATTACAAAAATGTCATTACGCTTCTTGTCATTTTTTCTTAATGTTAAGTCATTAATCATCTTAGATAGACATTTGAAGTTAGTATGCACATTCTCAAGGCGCTAGTAGTTATCATTTTAACTTGATTCTATATATATATATATATATATATATATATATATATATATATATATATATATATATATATATATATATATATATAATTAATTAATTAATTAATTAATTAATTAATTAATTAATTAATTAATCAATAATATATTTTAACACTCCATGTGTGATCATTGCAATCCATAGCTAGATATGAAGATGCTAATCAAGAAAAACATTCTTTAACCGAAATTTAAGGGATTTTAAGGATCGTAAAATAATTGATCGGAAAGTGATGAGTATGTGCATATAATTTAATAATTGCATTGACATTGACCACTTTGTTTATACATATGATCGTCACTAAAATTTTATTTTCCTATCTCTGGCTGCTAACACTTTTTTTTTTTTTTTTTTTTCTTTCTAAAATTTATAAATACTGCAATATATTAAATTTTTAGTAGATAGTGAGAATGTATATAATGGTGTTATTGTTGCATTATTTGAAGTTTTGAACTAAACATATTTCAATGCAATATATATAGTTAATCTATTAATTAATTAATTTCTTGTTAAGCATCAAGATTTCACATGATTTGTTACGATTTAGTAATAATAACTGCAACATAAACTATATAATTAAATCATAAGTTTATAAAATATAAATTTAACAGAATCTAGTAGCATCTTATTGCTTATGCTCCAGATTTCACCCCAGCTCATCACATGCATGAGCAGCTACTAGAATCAAGGTTTTGTAATACATTATATATATATTTATATTTATTGGACGGCCAACTTGAAAAGCATAATATATATAAAATAATAAATGTAATTTAAAATTTTAGCTAGTTTGCTGAGATGAAACTAACTGTATTTTAGAAATTTTAAAATAAATATTTTTTTTAAAATATGTAAACAATTAATATTAATCATATTTAAAGAACATATTTAGAAGATCAGATGTAGTAATCAGTGTCTCATTCTCTAAAAGTTATATTTTGAGCTAAAAACTTGGACTTTCTAGTTTGTTCTCTAAGTTATATTAGATTTTTAGTTAAAATGAAACATATTTAAGTCTATATTGATGGATAAACTACACATTTTATTTATATTTTATATATAGATTAGGTGCTCAACAACACAACAGCTAGCGAAGTTAATTATTTTTATTTAAAAAAAAATCACTTAATCATGCATTAAAAGAACTGGTAAATTAAAAGATTTAAAGAAAGGTCTGGGAAATAGGGTCGCATTTAAGAGAGGGTATTGGGTGCCCCAACAAGCAAAGCCAACTTATTGTTGAAGAGGATCACAAATGGATCTTACCTCAACAAAAGGAATAAAAGTTGTTTTGCCAATATTGTATCGAATCATATCATCATTATAAAAAATACAATAAAAAACTTATATAAATTGATATAAAATAAAATAAAGTTTAAGGTGATTTTGTGTTTTGGGTTGAGTATGAATAAAATTTTAACACACGATATCATATTCAAACTGAATTTATATTAAGATATATCAAAATTTTAAATATATATCCGAACCGATAACTATTCGGGTTCATCTAAAATTTAAAATTCGATTCGAGTTTCGCGTGTTTGTTCGGATGATCCGAATTACACTCACCCTAGTGATAAGGATGTTATAAGGACAAAAAAAATGCAGAAGTGCAACTTACAAATTCCAACTTGAATCCAAGAAAAACAATTCCTTAAAAAAGAAACTTTATGATTTGGGATGCTTGTCTTTAAGCCAGTCCAAAATCATATTTAGCATAGCTGTGTAAGTACCAAAAATAAAAGGTATTTAGTGCAAGTTTTCTTTTGTCCTTTATGAAAATGATATGTTTTTTTTTTTTTTTTTTTTTTTTTTTTTTTTTTTTTTTTTTTTTTGTGGGGTGAAAATTCATTGGCATTATTTCATGATATCTTGTTGCATCATTATTAGAAAAGGGTTGAAAAGACTCCTCACTTGAACACTTTATTGTGAATTGAGATGCAATATTAATATTTGTGTAATAAACATAAATGTTTATAGTATATTTCAGGTGATAGTGCAGAATATATTGACTATCAGTTTCTAGAATATAATTTTCTTTAGGGGACAAATAAATCAGCTGGCTAGTACTACAAATTGCTTTAATTTAATTTATAAAAAATTTCAAATCATATATAATTTTTTTGAGTACTACTAACTCTGTTACAATGTATTATATGTTCATAGCTACTACTTTCTCAACTTACTGAAACTGAGGCTCAAACCCATGACCTCCCATTTGAGAGAGACACTTCATACCACTAGACCACGTAGGCACAAATCATATATATAATCAATCAAAAAAAAAAAAAAAAACAAGAAAAAGAGATTTGGGAAAAGAAGAAAAGAAAGAGCACTAGAAAGGGGGCCATAGGACAATAATATAATATATGGGTCATTGTCATGTATATGCAATTCCTTGAAAATCTCATATATAAAGTGTTATCATGGATTGGTCATACTGAAAGCAGCAATCACCAAAAACCTAAAAACATACCCCACAAAATGATACAAACACTTCTATTTAAGAACCCAATTTTTCCCTTTGGTTTCATTCCAAGCTAATTAAGTAACTTCCTCTCTTGTGCAGTTGTTTAGAGTGGCAAAAACTAAGTGTTTTCTTGGCTAGCTGGGAATATAATGAGTTCTTCATTATCCCAGAACAAAATGGAAGGAGAAGAAGGGAAAAAGGGGAAGAGTTCGATAATTGTTATCTTTAGATATGCAGATTGGATCGACATTTTTCTAATGTGTTTAGGCACTTTGGGGGCCATTGGAGATGGAATGTCTACAAACTGTTTGCTGCTCTATGTTAGCCATCTTTTTAACACCTTGGGTTATGGCAGTAATAACTCTCAGTCTCAGATAAGCAATGGCAATTTGATGAGGGAAGTAGAGAAGGTTAGTATTTATTTATTTTTCTCCAAATTTTACTTTAAAACTCTATGTATATAAATTTCCCCTATTTCTCCAAATCAAATTAGTTTTTTCTGACTTTTCTTTTTTTGGGTTTCAGTGTAGTCTATACTTTGTGCTACTGGGATTGGCAGTCATGGTTATGGGATTCATGGGTATATTTCTTCCTTCCTTCCTTCAACATTTTTAACTTTCTTTAATGGGAAAATCATCTTCTTTAATTAATTTCTTGAATTTCTTCCTAATAAATGGCTGGAAGAGAGAGAGAATAGTGGATTAATTGCTTCATGTTATGTCATTACAAAACCCTAGAAGTAGTGTATCTCCTAGTGTATGGGCATGTGAGACAAGCAGGAAACATAGTATATGTATATATATATGTACAATGTACTAATTAACTATATCTTTGCTTTTAGTATTTTAAAATAATGATTCTAAAGAATAGTATATTTTTTGCATAAATGATTTTAAATTTGCAGAAGGGTATTGCTGGAGTAAAACCAGTGAAAGACAAGTGTTGAAAATTAGATACAAATATTTGGAGGCAATATTGAGGCAAGAAGTTGGCTTCTTTGATTCTCAAGAAGCAACTACTTCTGAAATCACCAACAGCATTTCCAAAGACACTTCTCTCATCCAAGAAGTCCTTAGTGAAAAGGTGCTCAGCTCTCCTATTCATTTATATATATATATATACACACACACACATATAGCATCTAGTATCGCACTACAATAAAACTAATCTGGAATTGATCCAGTGGGACCTATAAAATTTGACTCATGCTCGAAAAAAAAAAAAGTTAGGTCAGAAGTCTGATCTTTAACATGATGTATCCCTTATGGTTACGTTAAAACGAAGATAAAATGCATGTCATCCCAAGAAAAAGAAATTCAGGCATGCATATATACTGATCGTCTCAACTAAAACTTTAACATGATAGTTGGGTTGTACGTTCAACACGCCCCTTCACGTTACCTGGACCATAGTCCGGGGTTAAATTAGTTCTGATACTCAATTGAAGTATGTGCTCCATTATATTTCTACTAAAAGTCTAAGCTGATAGTTGGATTGGACATTTATGTTTATATATTATATATATATGCTCAACTTTAACAATGATTATATTGCAGGTACCCATATTTTTGATGCACACATCAGTGTTCCTCTCAGGGCTTGGATTTTCAACATATTTCTCATGGAGGCTATCTCTAGTAGCATATCCCACAATAGTTATCTTGATAATCCCTGGCTTAATCTATGGAAAATACCTTCTGTACCTATCCAAGAAGTCATTCAAGGAGTACAGCAAAGCAAATGGCATTGTAGGCCAGGCTCTCAGCTCCATCAAGACCATATACTCATTCACTGCTGAAAGGAGCATTCTTGAGAGGTATTCTTCCATTCTTGACCGCACCATTAAGCTCGGGATGAAGATCGGGATCGCGAAAGGCCTCGCTGTTGGAAGCACCGGCCTTTCGTTCGCTATTTGGGCTTTTCTTGCTTGGTATGGCAGCCGTTTGATCATGCATAAGGGAGAGAGTGGAGGAAGGATTTATGCAGCTGGAATTTCCTATGTCTTGGGTGGACTGTAAGTCTAGCTTCCTTTTTTCGTTCGTTTTGATCATTCTTTGCATTCCAGAATTGAATTCTGTGATCTAATAATCCCAGAACTGGTGTATGTTGTGTGCAGATCATTAGGAATGGCACTGCCTGAGGTGAAATACTTCACAGAAGCCTCAGTTGCAGCCTCGAGAATATTCTCGAGGATAGACCGTGTTCCAAAGATAGACGGTGAGGACAAAAGTGGGATGGTACTGGACACGATTCGCGGGGAGCTGGAGTTCAAGAATGTGAAATTTGCATACCCTTCTCGCCCCGAGAGCCTAGTCCTTAAGGACTTGAATCTAAAGGTTGAAGCTGGGAAGACGGTGGCGCTTGTTGGAGCCAGTGGGAGTGGGAAATCCACCGCCATTGCGTTGCTGCAGAGGTTCTATGATGCAAACAGCGGGAGCATATGCATTGATGGGGTGGAGATAAACGCGTTGCAGGTGAAATGGCTGAGAGGGCAGATGGGATTGGTGAGCCAAGAACACGCGCTTTTTGGGACATCCATAAGGGAGAATATCATGTTGGGAAAGCTGGGAGGCTCCATGGAGGAAGTGGTGGCTGCTGCCATGACAGCAAATGCTCATGATTTCATTAGGCAACTCCCTCAAGGATATGAAACTAAGGTCACCACCATTTTCTTCATCTCATCGATTCTGTTTCTTCGATCTGATCTGATCGAAAAATTTCATGTGATTTTGGCACTGCAGGTTGGGGAAAGAGGAGCACTGTTATCTGGAGGGCAAAAGCAACGGATCGCGATTGCTAGAGCAATAATCAAGAACCCTGTCATTCTTCTTCTTGATGAAGCCACTAGTGCCCTTGATTCTGAATCAGAAAAGCTGGTCCAAGATGCACTAGACCAAGCCTCAGCTGGAAGAACAACACTGGTACTGCAAAAGATTGAATCCAACCAATTAGCTAGTGTAACCCATGGCCTTATGAACCCATATGTTCTCTCTTATTTGATGACTTTAACACTCCCCTCAAGTGGACAACCGGGCCATTCTTAACAACTTCAAATGATCCAATTAGTTGGTACTAGATCATATATATATATTACCCATTTTCTTGAATTTGATCAGGTGGTGGCACACAAGCTCTCAACGATACGAAACGCGGATTTGATTGCTGTTGTGAGTGGTGGGTGCATAATTGAGCAAGGCTCCCACAGTGAGCTAATGGAGAAGAATGGGCATTATGCACAAATGGCAAAGCTCCAGAGGCAATTCAGCTGTGCTGATCAAGATCAGAGTTTCGCCCCGTCTTCGAATGCAGGTAGACAAAGCACAGAAAAATCAAGCCCTGCAGTTTTAGCATCATCCCCTTTGCTCATCGAGACCGCCCAGAAAGTGCCAACTGATCATCATCATCAACCATCCCCCTCCTTTTCGAGGCTCCTCGGGCTAAACCTAACCGAGTGGAAACAAGGCCTGATAGGCAGCATTTCAGCTATTGCATTCGGGGCAGTGCAGCCTACATATGCATTAACCATAGGAGGGATGATTTCGGCCTTTTTCTCCCCGAGCCACGAGGAAATGCAAGCCAGGATCCAGAAATTCTGCCTCGTTTTCGCCCTTCTCTGCCTTCTCTCCATCACTCTCAACCTCTGCCAGCACTACTGCTTTGCCTACATGGGGGAGCACCTCACGAGACGGATCCGTTTGAGAATGCTGGAGAAAATCTTGACATTCGAAACAGCATGGTTCGACGAGGAACACAACTCGAGTGGAGCCTTGTGTGCCCGGCTCAGCAACGAGGCAGCCATGGTTAAATCCCTGGTAGCGGACAGACTCTCCCTGCTAGTCCAGGCTGCATCATCGGTCACAATCGCCATGGTAATGGGGCTAGTCGTAGCATGGAAGCTAGCACTCGTCATGATAGCCGTGCAGCCCCTCACAATCCTTTGCTTCTACACCCGAAAAGTCCTGCTCTCCACCATCACAACCAAGTTTGTGAAGGCTCAAAACAGCAGCACACAGATCGCAGTGGAGGCGGTGTATAACCACAGGATTGTGACGTCGTTCGGGAGCATAAACAAGGTGCTTGACATCTTCGATAATGCTCAGGATGAGCCGAGGAAAGAGGCACAGAAGAAATCTTGGTTGGCTGGAATTGGGATTGGATCAGCTCAAGGTCTGACCTTTATGTGTTGGGCATTGGATTTCTGGTATGGTGGGAAGCTAGTGAGCAATGGAGAGATTTCATCTGGAGATGTTTTCAAGACCTTCTTTATATTGGTCAGCACAGGGAAAGTCATAGCTGATGCTGGAAGTATGACTTCTGATTTAGCTAAAGGATCAGCCGCTGTGGCCTCCATTTTCGCCATTCTTGACAGACCATCCATAATTACTAGCCCCTACAATGTAAGTACACTATCATCAACATCCAAGTTTTAATTTCTCATTTCTTTTCTGGGTGACTGCCACTATCCGAGGGTGTGTTCCTTGCCGACTAGCACTATCCGAGGGTGTGTTCCTTGTGGACCTAGTCGGCAATGGATCATAAGTAAGGATTTAGTAGTCTAGGTTACACATAGTTGGTCGGCTCAAACTAAAGTGATCAATAGACCGTTCCTATTGGGAATCAAATTTGTAATTTTATAGTTACCAAGTCAACAGCTTTACCATTACGACTCTAGCCGGCAAAGGACCAACTTAGGTTACACATAGCCGGCTCAAATCAAGACTTGTAATCTTGTGATTACCAAGTCAATAATCTGACCGCTATCCGGAGTGGCCCTAACTACAAGGAGGTATATAAACTAGCCTAAATTGTACATAGTTGACCAGTTCAGATCAAGGAGACGAATAGACCCCTCGTATTGATTACTAAACTAATAGCTTGACCAACTTGTCCCTATAATTTCTCATTTCTTCCTCGTTTTGGCTCATCAGGGAAAGGTTGACAATGGTGGAACAAACCTGGAAAAGCTATCAGGGAAGATAGAGATCAAGAAAGTGAATTTCGCATATCCAAGCCGGCCTGAGACGCCAATACTGCGAGAGTTTTGTCTGGAAGTGAAAGCAGGTTCGAGCATTGGCCTGGTGGGGAAAAGTGGGAGCGGAAAGTCCACCATTGTTGCTTTGATCGAGAGATTTTACGACGTGGATGGAGGGTCTATCAGAGTAGATGGGGTGGACGTCAGGTCCTTCGATATTGGGTGGTATAGACGACAAATGGCACTGGTCAGCCAGGAGCCGGTCATATATTCCGGCACAATCAGGGACAACATATTGTTCGGAAAGCTTGATGCTTCAGAAAATGAGATTATTGAAGCTGCCAAGGCTGCAAATGCACACCAATTCATCTCGTAAGTATTTCTATATTCACACTAAATTAGTTACTAATGCAACTAACATATAACTCAATAAACAAGTTACTAATGTAACTGATATTATAAAAATCAGTATCGTAAAAATCGGCTTAGGCGGCCGCCTAGGCGCTAGGCGTCCTTAGGCTGAGCCGATTTCAACCCTGGGCAATTTTTAGTTGGCTGGCCGACTAGGCGCTGAGTTGGGCACCTAACTTTGCTTAGTTGGCATCCAACTAGGTTGAGTCGGCGCCCAACTCAACCGAGTGGTATTTTTTGCTTGCTCGGTTGCTCCTCTTCTATATTTCTCCAGGCTCCATGTATTCAACTAACCATCTAACATATGTAGTGACCAATTTGTGGGATTATAATAGTCTAACAACTCACAACCCTGAGTGAAAAAAGTAGAGGCGATATACTCAAATTACTCGACCGCCTAGGAGGTGCCTAGGCTCTCTAAGCGCCCCTGATGCTTGACTAGCACCTAGCACCTTCTGCAACATTGATAGGCAGACATCATATAACTCAGTAAATGATCGAGTTACTAATGCAACACATGTAGTACAGACTATAGAGCATATTATAACTCAATAAACGAGTTACTAATGCAATTGATGTAATACAGATCGTTGAAAAAGGGATACGACACCGAATGCGGTGAAAGAGGGGTTCAACTCTCGGGCGGGCAAAAGCAAAGAATTGCCATTGCTAGAGCAATCATCAGGAACCCAACCATATTGCTCTTGGACGAAGCCACAAGTGCACTAGACGTGGAATCAGAGCAAGTAGTGCAAGAAGCTTTAGACGGGATAATGATCGGGCGGACGACAATGGTGGTGGCGCACAGGCTTAACACCATCAAGAACCTGGACTCCATCGCCCTGGTTTCAGAGGGAAAGGTTGTGGAACATGGAACTTATTCCCAGCTCAAGAACAAGCGTGGCCAGTTTTTCAACCTTGTCAACCTTCAAAATAATTAGGATTTTTGCACCAATTCAAGTTCCATGCCTACCTCTACAATAATGTCGTCTTATAATGTAAAATTTCTTAACCTTATATTATTACTATTATATAATGTAGGAAATCAATCTTATAAATATGAAAAAATGTCAAATGCCAGTGCATGCTATAAAACACAAACTTCCTCTCTTCTGCTACAGAAATATAAGGTACACAAACTTCCTCTTCTTTCTGCTGGAGGAATATCGGGCAAGTATTTATAACATAAAAGTTCTAAATTCAAAAGGGAATGTATTCCCGGTTAGGGTCACAATGCGGAGTTTACAAGCCATTTCTTTTACTCCTCGCTGCTGCTATCGTCGCCAAAGTCTAGGCAGTCATCGATCACAGTAGGAGGGCCTTGCCTCCTCAACTGAAAAAGAATAAACGTGTTGAAAAAAGGTTAAAACACAACCATAAAATGGATATATAGTTATGAACAAACAATAGATGTTGTTCGGTGAAAACCCTGAAGTAATTCTTGAGTTGGCGCTTCAGGTACTTCATCTCTGAATTCGCCTCCTCCAAACAGGCCAAGCATCTAATCCATTGATGAATGTAACACAGTCAATTTCACAGTGAGTGGATAAATCCATCTAAGCATATAAGTATATTTATTTCAATTCAGCATATATGACAACCCCATTCCCATCCAAAGAAAAAGGAACAAAAGACTTGAATTTTACCCAGCAAAGTCCAATGCAGAGCTACATTCAATGCAGCGGCCTATCTGTGTCAGCACTTTAACAGCACTAGCACTGCACGGTACATGAACGAGGCCCGTGGCATAAAATTGGCAGTATAATATACCGAACAATTGTTAATGGGTAGAATGGAAATGAAAATACCTTTTAGTGTTGGATCTGAACTCATGAAGGTACAGTTCAATTGATTCAACATCAAAAGGAGGGCCATGCATGAGTAGCACATATAAGCATCTCAAACATTAAGAAAATGAGAAACCATGACAGAAAATTGGCAGTGTCTAAAGTAGTAATCTTACCGCTCTAGTTTAAGAATCCCCACAAGCCTCTCTGCCTCAAGGAAATAAGTGCAGTAAAAGTCCTCCAGAAAGCCAGGGAGCCCTACATCTATTTCCTCAGTTCGGATGAATTTCTCATTAAGCAGTTGCTGCACGGAGACCAATCATCATTAGACGAAAAATAGCTGCATTGCTTTAAGAGTCCCACGTTGAAAATATAAGAGATAACATATGCTTTAGACTAACTAATTGATAGGATTTAAAATTTGTAGTGTGATTTGACCCATATACAATGTAGCCCAATTAAATGACCTTGGTCCACTCTTAGAATTCCTTTCAGGGGAAAGGAATTTCAGGTACAATCGTTATACCCTACACCACGGCGCACATAGCACTGTGCGCCGCGCGCATCTCAAAACGACGTCGTTTTGGGAGGCGCGGTAGGAAGTTGCTGGGATTATGTGTATTTGTTCACACAGTTATGTGTATTGGTTCATACAGTTATGTACATTTTTTATACAATTATGTACATTCTTTTTATACAATTATGTACATCCGAATCAGAAAATTTGTGTGTATTATGTTAATAGTTGATGTGTATTATGTTAAAAGTTTATGTTTATTATGTATTATGTTAGATTATGTGTATTATCTTTTAAAAAGAGTATGTATATTTTGTTATATAATTATGTACATTCATGTATACAGTTATGTGTATTCTAGTATAACATTATGTACATTCTTGAACAACGGGTTTTTTCTTAAAGAAAAAACTACTGCCATTCAGTGGGGCGGAAAATTTCAAAAAAAAAAAAAAATTAAAACGACGTCGTTTTGCATCTGGGCGCATAGTGTAACGCGCGCCGTGGTGTAGGATATAAATTGCCTTTCAGGTATGGTTTGACCCATTTTATAGCCCAGTTGAGTGAACTTCTCAAATTATGCTGTGCAACCGAATGCACCATGCGCATGGTGCATACGATGCAAAACGACGTCGTTTTGGTTAAAAAACGCGCGTCCCACTTAAAAAAGAAATCAAGTTCGATTCCCGGCAATAGCATTTTTATATATCCATAAATTCATAACTATATATCCACAGTGAATGAATGAAGTAAAAATCCACAATGAATGAACTAAATATCCCCAATGAATGAACTAAATATCCACAATGATTGAACTAAATATCCACAATGAATAAACTAAATATCCATAAATTCATAACTATATATCCATAAATTCATAACTATATATCCACAGTGAATGAATGAAGTAAATATCTACAATGAATGAACTAAATATCCACAATGAATGAATTAAATATCCAGAAATTCATAACTATATATCCAGAAATTTATAACTATATATCCAGAAATTCATAACTATATATCCACAATAATGCTATTGCCGAGAATCGAACCTGATTTTTTTTTCTTTAAGTGGGACGCGCGTTTTTAGTCAAAACGACGTCGTTTTGCATCGTATGCACCATGCGCATGGTGCATTCGGTTGCACAGCATAACTATTGAACTTGAGTGAACTTGATCCCATCTTAGAATATAATACATTGGAACAAAGTTAACCATGGACAAAAAATAAATTAGTGAATGACTTGTGCACTTTGCGTGAAAATATAACTGCAACAGGAAACAAAGTGCTGCAAACAAGGAAATTTTGTAACAAAAATTACACATAATAAAATCTCTCAATGAATAAATATTTAAAACAAACCTGGTCGAATAAGGATTGTCGCAGGTTAGCTATCTCCTGAGCATGCTCGTCTGCCATCCTAGTAAGAAAATGAATTGTGCCTTAGCATTGCACTTAAGGTGTGTTTGGAATCCTGGAAAATGAGTTCTGGAAATCATTTTCCAAGTTTCCAGTGTTTGGATGTGCCTGGAAAATCAAGTCAACGGAAATCGTTTTCCATTGACTTTGGAAAATAGGCTTGTTTTGGAGGAAAATGACTTCCCCTTTTTTTGGGGGAAGTCATTTTCCAACTTTTACACCAACATCACACCACCACCAACATCATCAACACCATACCACCATCACCACCACTATACCCCCGCCACCATCACACCACCACCACAACCACCACCAACACAGCAACCACTACCACCACCACCACCACCACCCTACCACCGCCACCATCGCCGCCGCCACCGCCACCACACCACCACCTTCACACCACCGCCGCCGCCACCACCACCACTATACCACCGTCGCCGCCACCACTACCACCATACCACCGCCACCGCCATCACCACCATACCACCACAACCACCGCCACCATATCACCGCAACCACCACCACCACCACACCACCGCCATCACACCGCCACCGTCGTCACCGCCACCACCACCACCATACCACCGCAACCACCGCCACCGCCACCACCACCATACCACCGCAACCACCGTCGCCGCCACCACCACCACCACCGCAACCACACGACCACTGCCACCACCGTCATACTACCACCACCATCACACCAACACCACTAACGCCGTCGCCGCCACCACCAGCATACTACCGCAACCACCGTCGCCCCTGCCACCACCATACCACCGCAACCACCACCGTCGCCACCACCACCATACCACCGCCACCACACCACCACCGTCATACCACCACCAATTATTATTATTATTATTATTATTATTATTATTATTATATAACGAATAACACCACTACCACTACACCACCACCACCACCATAATATTTTGATATATTATTAGTTTTTTTTTTTTTTTTGAAAAACTTAGCTATTTTTTATTATATTTAAAATTAATATTATATTATTATATATTATTATACATGTTGTAATATTCTAAATAAAATAATTAAAATGTTTAATTATACAATTCTACTCATTTTCCAGAAAATGAACCAAACACAGAAAAACAGTTTTCCATAATGCAACCAAACACTAGAAAGGAAAATGTTTTCCGGAAAATGACTCATTTTCCAGAAAACATTTTCCAGAAGTCATTTTCCTGCTTTCCAAACGGACCCTTAGAGAAAACAAGAAATGAGGACTGTATGAAATAATATTGCATTATTTAGACTAGAGTTATGACACAATCTGGATTAGATTTGGCCAAAAAATGACAAACCAATCACCGCAGATTTGTGAAATAAATGAGGGAAACCTAAAAATGAGAAATTTCATATGCATTTTTTTGGATCGACAGGGAGGGGGATACCCCGAAGGGAAGCTAGTTCCGTTCACTACGATGCCAGGTCGCACGCAGGCGATCATTGCCAATGATTTCCTCCATACCAGATGGATTTCTCGTTAGCTCACGCCATTCCACGTCCATGTTGGCGCCCATGCTGGCGAGAGCATCTGCACACTTGTTCTGTTCGCGTACGATCTTTCGGATTGAAACCTTCCAGTTTTCTTTAAGCCAATGTCGAATGTTCTCAACATGATCACATATAGGTCCTCTTAGCTCTGAATCACCCAAAATCCAATTAATGACTTTCTCAGCATCTGATTGGATTTCAATGTCTCTAATGCCAGACCTCCAAGCCCAGCTAAGGCCTTTCGATATGGCTCAAAATTTCATATGCATTGACTGTCACAGAACATGTGATAACTAAATGTGAAATAGTACGTACTGAACAAAACACCACTTTATATAGACTAAGAGTGATTACTCAATCCAATTGAGATAAGTCAAACATTAAGAAACCAGCTGTGAGTTACAGCCCATCTCAACATATAGCAAATTTGTAAAATAAATGAGTTACTGAGCAGAACATAGAACATAGAGTGATGACTTGATGCAACATAGTATTGCTTCATACAGATTACAGACTTGAGTGATGACTCAATCCAGTTCAAATTTAGTAAAAAAAAATAAAAATAAAAGAGAAATGAATGAGTCACCAACAACGTCAACACATGGCAGATATGCAAAATTAATGAAGAAAATCTGGAAATGCAAAAAAATTTATAACATTTTGAATGTCACATATTTTGTAACACCCGTACCCATGCACGCAAGAGATTAGGGATATAACAAAACAGGAAGAAATGGAAATAGAAATACATGCCGACTATCAAGAGGCGGAAAATGGCTGCCAATTTAGGGAACTCAACAAAGTTTCCTACTATTGTGAAATAATATTCAAGAAGATC